GCGGTGGCATCCAAGACGCTTGCCAGCCTTTTGTGCAGCCTTTTGAATGACTTCCTTCGCCACATATTCGGCATGCCTTTCAGTGATCTCCAACATGTCTCTGGCAACGAACGCAGTAGACATGTACTGCTTAATATCCGGTCCCTCTTGTGTTTCTTCGGCAAGCTTACAGGATGCGCCAAAGGCGTGTTGCATGGACCAAAGTCTACCAAGGGCTGCATCCGAGCTTCCAACAAGGCCCTCGGTCTCTTCCCTCAAACTCCAAGAGAACGCAGAAGGCTGATTTGGCATGCATTGAGCGACTGGCTCTGTCCAACCAATTCCACGAGGGTCAAAGCCGATGATATCGAAGTATCTTGCGTCAGGCGATGGGGTGAAAGTCTCAACGTTAGAGTCTATGATCTGTTGTAACCCTCCTGCTAAGAAGAGCGCAACTGATGTACCTGATCCTCCGGGCCCGCCAGGGTTGAACAAGACCGGGCCACCATACCGGGGATCATCCACGGATACTTTGGCGGGTAGCTTGACGATAGCGATGCTCACAGTATGATCAGGGTAGGTCCCGTTGAAGTAGTCCAGTGGCAGGCTCAGTTTTGCGCATTCAAATTGGCCAAAGCATTTGTGGAATTCTAGATGCTCACTCGGTGTGATCTGGAGCTTGGTCAGTCTTGCATCCACCAGTCGATATTATGATGCTGAAGCAGGCTTGTTAGACTAGATTGTAGAGAGCTGCGGTTCGCTTATGTTGATACGGTGCTGGGACTTGGGTCCGAGCGACATGCTGGTGAACCGGAATGGGATCTGGTCAGGCCACCAACCACGATCAGATTTTTCATTGAGCCTTTTGATGACGAAGGCCGTCTGTGGTGCTCCGGCATGCGCCCAAGACATCTCCCGGAAGTAGAGTAACCACCTGCTGTGCGACTTGGATCGAGGCTATCATTCGATCTGATAAGATGCGGGCCAGGGTGGCTGCAGAACCACGTGTGCGGTGCGACGCTCAGGGAACACTCTCTCAACATACCTCGGACCACTCAAAGGCAGCATCATGCAACGCAGGCTCAATGTCTAGAAATGAGGACAGATCCCAGTTCTTCAATTCAGGGAAGATGGTATCCACTGCCGCGAGGCACACGAGTGTGACGAAGGTCGCAGAAAGCAGTGCACGCCACCGCGTCGGGGTCCGTCCAGGCTTGACCGGCGCCGTCGCATCCTCCAGCCCGTTCCAACTCTTCATGATGTACTCGAAGTCGTTCCAGCCGGCTGAAGAACAAGCAAAATAAATGCGATGAAGTATTGGATATCCGCGAGTCGTTGAATAGTAGAAGACGGGTGTGGAGGGGTCGTCTGTCAGCGTGCATCCTCAGCCCAAGACATTCGACGTCGCATCCTGGCGCCTGACGCCAAAAGTGAAGATCACCTCAGGCAGCAGCAAAGCACTCGAGGATGCGGAAGTGTGTGCGCGAGGACTATACAAAACGCAGCACGGAGTGCGCCTGACTCCCCGCAGACAGCCCAGCTATCGCTTGCAGAAACCTGCCTTTCTACTCTGCGTTGGTGCTGCAGCTGCAGCAGGACTGGCCGGCGGCTATGTATGCAATATGCAGATGTGGTCACAATGCGCTGCCTTGGCTGCTGAATTTTCCATGTGCAGAAAGCGAGACTAGTGCGTGCGATTAAGTAATGGGTTAGTTGCCGTCGAGATCATCTCATGTGTTGGGTTGTGAGGAGAATTGGCATCGCCACGAACCTGCGTCTTGTGGAGGGACCCGTTAGAGACCGCAGAGCCTCATCGCAACAGCGATAATGTGATCTGGTTGATCCTCAGGAAGAAGACGCCGATCCAGCTGTTGTACCCATTTGCGAAGCGAATGTGAGTGAGCATGCTTGCTTTTGAGATGCGGTGTAATCTGCTTTTTGCTGACATGTCTTTTGGTAGAGTTCAAGGTTACATTGGAATGACACAGCTTTTGGGTAGGTAGCAAGCCACCATGACTACGAAGAGCCCGTAAGGAAAGTGCACAAAGAACGGGAACCCTCATAGCGCGACAAGTACAGAGTAGCAGCACCTCCTGATTCAATGGGTATCTCATCTCTCAGTACCAACCACCTCTACTGCCATTAAACATAATATGAAACGTCCATGTGAATGATGATGCTCATTCGAGGAGGAGCAGTGTCGGCTAACGTCCAAAAGATCTCCATCATGTAAAGCCAGCTCCAATCCCAGGAGCGTTCTTGCCCTCAACTAGAAAGTTCGTACCTTTGGTCATTCTGAGAGCACAGGACTGTAGGACGTGGGTCCGCCGAGGTGTTTACCATTGCTGGCCACCACCTTGACCACCCTCTTGACCACCACCGTAACCGCCCTGGCCGCCGCCCTGACCGCCGCCGTAGCCGCCGCGAGACTGGTATCCGCCGCCGCCGCCGCCGCCTTGAGAAGGTCCCCAAGAGCCGCCGCCCTGGCCGCCGCCGCCGTAGCCTTTTCACTAAGTTAGTTTCTCACTGCGAATACAACGGTGACATGTGCTTACCACGGTCGCCGCCACCGTAGCCTGAGGATATAGTTAGCATAGAGCCGCGATGGGTACGATGTGAAAAGCTTACCTCCTCCTTGTCCACCGCCGTAACCTCCACGGTATCCGCCGCCACCGCCTCCGTAGCCGCCGCCGCGAGGAGCACCACCGCCAGCGCGGTCGGAGGCCTTGTCGACGCGAATCCTACGTCCGTCGAATCTGGGAGAGTCAGCAGTGCCCACTGTTGGATGGTACGTGAAGGCAGAAAGGACGTACTCCTCGTTGTTCATGGCCTGCATCGCGGCATCGGCCTCGGTGTCCTGGGCATAGCGAACAAAGCCAAAGCCTCGGCTGCGGCCAGTATCGCGGTCCTTAACCACGACCTGTGACGATGTGAGCTTTGACTCGACCTTGGCGACGACATTCGTCGAGTAGCGTGTCACTTACGGCTTCTTCGACTTGACCGAACTCCTCGAACTTTTGACGGAGAGCTTGGTCGTCGGTGTGCCATGCGAGGCCTCTGTGAAGGGTCAGTCGCGGTCGCGGTATGGGAAGGCTGCGTACTTACCCAATGAAGAGCTTAGACATGGTGAGAGTGATGTCTGGGTCGAACACTGAACGGTCTCAATACTAGCTCTCGCAACTCGAAACAAGGCGCGCGATACAAAGAAGCTCAAGACAGGTAGTGACAGGAGTTGTAGAGTGAAGGAAAAGTGCAGGAAGGCGAGGAATCCATCGCGGCTTCCCGGGCAGGCAGTATGTAGCAACGTGACGGAACGAACATTTGATCTTGTAGCACCAGGCTGTATTGGTGATGATGGCGCAAGCGATTGCTCTGAAGAGTTAGAGGAGGGAGAGTCGGCTGCAGGCTGTCGCAAGAAAGTGATGGCACAGGGTGAGGAGCAGAGATAGTGAAGCGTCTAGGTTGGCGGGGCAAGCGACGATATGAGTACCCCTCCACCAGGTGAAAGAGCGCTAGGCTGCAAGCAAGTAATAGGTTGCGCGCACGGACTGGAGGGCTGAGGGCCCGGTTTATAAAGCGACGTGGATGGCCACGAGCGACGGGGTGCAATGTGTCTCTCCAGCCAGTCGAGCCAGTCAAGCCAAGGGGTCTGGTAGTTCGGACCTGGGCTGCAGGCAGGCAAACGGAACTGGCCCCTCGCAGCTAGCCGGTCCCAATGCCTTGTCTAGGAGCCCGCACCTGACGATGGACAGGGTGCAGATACTGGTTCTGCCATACATGTCGGCTGGCTGGCTCCCTAGCCTGTCCCGTGTCTGTCTGTTCATGCTGGGTATATGCAGCCCACGTTAGCCTGAGACCGGGGAGGCCCAACTGCAGGGCCCTTGACGAGCCAGAGAAAACGATTTTTTTGATAGGTGCATCGATCCATCGTCGTGCTCAGAGTGCCGGCAGGAGTGCGGCGGCGTCATTGGGCCACTGCGAAATACGTGCATGGACAAGCCTGCGGATAGACAGATTGCGTGCTCGAGACAGCAGCGATCTGCGCCCGTGGCTACAGCAAGACTATCGGGCTGTGACGAAAAGGTCAATGGCGGACAGGTATTGGACAGAAGATGGTGGTTCAAAGAAGCTTATCAAAGTCGCCATCCTTAGTCTGACGGTGTGGGGATCGGGCCTAGCTAACTTCCAGGCCCTCCAGGGCTCTGCATCCCGAACTGGCTCGTGCGCGCGACGTCAAGATGTAGCAAGCTGAGCGTGCTTAATGAGACGACTGCTCGCACTTATACGACCGAAGTCCATTGCGCTGAGACAGGCCAGAATGTCCCATCAATCACATACTACACAGTCGTCACCATCGGATACAGAAAGCGGGCAGATTGGCAGCGTTTACCGAGATATACCGAGGCAGCGCGGACTGAACCGATCCATATGTGTTCGTTCTGCATATCTCCAAGCAAGTCGGCGACGAGAAGCTATCGCAGCCATTGCCCTGCGATGGCGGCACAGCGCATGCGGCAGCACGATGCACGATGCCAAGACGTCTCGCTCTCGGGGACTGATTCTATGGCAATACCATCCGTCCAATGATATGAGCATCTTGCAGCCCGAATAGAAGTAAGGAGAGAAACAGACACGACAGGCATGGCCTCATTTCCACACCGTGAAGGTTGAAGGGTTGACGATGCACTGGCGTCATCAAATGCATCGTGCCTTCCTCCAGCAATGCAGTGGCTTCGGCGATGCCGGCAGCTTCACAATGGCAGCACCCCTTGCACCTGCCATCAATCTGTCTGGCTACCTGACGTAGCCTATCAGGTAGCTGCAATATCCAGATGAGACCTTGTCACCTTGAACGTCTCCCAGAATACCGTCACACAAGCAACTGAGCGACTATCACGACGATCTGCTCATCCACGCCGTATCCCAGCACCGTCTGGCCCCTCGAGCATCTCAGACCCACCAGACTTGCGAGGCGAACCAGACTCCGTTAACGGCACGGCTCGTCTAGGATGCAGGACAGCATGGACATACGAAAGTGGCTAGACGAGACAGTGCAACCGGAAGCACCGCGCGAGCCCAATAACCTTCATCAGACCGCAGAGCCTGCTAAACGGAAGCGCCGCCGCAGATCAGACAGCTCCCTCCTCGATCCCCGTCCGCCTGCATCCTCTCCGCATAAGCCAGCGGAGGATAGTGCTGACGAGGCGCTCCAGGCGACATGCAGCGACAGCTCTAGCAGCAGCCGATATGCGCGCAAACCTCGTAGAAAGACGCGTCCAGAGCGGTATGAGCCACAGTACGCGCCAGGTCCCCATGCCCATCGCGATCGTAAGGACAAATCAAAGAAGTCGCGACGCAAGCCTCGACGCAAGAAGGGCGAGAAGGCACCTGGTGTTATGCAGACCTTCCAGGCCACGAACATATCTGGGGATCGGCTGACTGTAAGATGTCTATGCGGTCGCCTGGAACATACAGTATGGTGTTGACGATTGGACTAGTTGAAGCCACGGGAGCAGCTAGGCCTTTTCAACAAGGGACGGACATCTACTGCAATCAAGGGCCGCGGGTGTGAGTAATTCATTCCCCTTCTTACAGCCTGAATGATATCTTCCTGTACGTCTTCCCCGCATTACCCAGCTGACGTGTCGCAGTGCCCGATCTGGTCTTCTCGGAAATGAAGTTTCTGCAGCAGCACAAAGACGAACCAGAACCTGTCCCTCGAACCGAAGCGTCCAAAAAGAAACGCAAGAAGGACAATGAACAGATGAAGGAAGGAGAGATCTCCGCTTTCTTTACCTCTGCGCGACCGGCATTAGTCGACAAGGACACAAATACCCTACCGCAGCATCCTGTACCAAAAGCTAAGCGGCGTCGTCGTGATCAATCTTCGGCAGATGACACTGCTATCCCAACTGTTGAAGCTACAGGCCAAGCCTCGTATCTAGGTTTTGGAGGTAGAGGCCCTCGCCATGAAAGTAATAGCTACGTTTCTTGGTCAGAGTCAATTCGAGCGCCTAGCACGGCGCCAGCACGCCCTCACATATCTCACATACGTACCAGTTCGCGCGATGTAGACTTTCATGGTGAGCTCGAAACCAGAAATGCAAATGAGAGCAATAGCTTCAAACTACCAGCCCGACCTCCCCCAGTGACGAAGCAAAGAACCGATAGCACGCCTGCCGAGCGCTTCAGGGTTTCGTCATTGGCTCCATCACATGGCAGAGCTTCGAGATCACAGTCCTTCCCGCAACACACTTCGTCCCCGCGAAGACCGAACCTCGTCGATCGATCTGCGAACCCACGTGCGGCTGACAATATTCATTCGCCTTCGTCAATGCCACCGTCTGTGCCCAAACATGCTATGGGCTCGTATCGTACTCAGCTACCCAGCTCCTCGAAGAATAATCGATCAGACTCGACTCCAGTCTCTGGGATGACTGCTCCATCCGGGTATGGACAGGAGAACCAGCATAGCGAATGCAGTCCTGCTAGAGAAGGGAAATTACCGACATCGTCTGACTTGGGGGTGGTTTTGCGGCATTGCAACGATACCTTCCACGAACGACATCTGGCCGCAGGGTCGCGGAGGAGACACACCGAGGAGACGCACCCATCGTATCCACAGTCGAACCTGCGGCAGAGTACGAGAGACACTTATCATGCAGCTCAGCAGGGTCACACTGTACGCTTCGCGGATCAGTCTCATTATGGACCGGTGATGCCCAATTTTGCTGGCCCGAGCATCTACGAACAACAAGCACAGCGTCAGCGATCTCATATGCAACGAGATCGCGAAGAAGAACCTCTCCAAAGTCTATATCTTTTCGAAGAAAACAACCTAGACCAAGGATATCAAATGGAATACGATGACGGGATGGAGCATGATGACGAGAACTGGGGAGGGCTTTTAGAAGAGCCCCTGTCGTATAGCCTTGATGGTGATTCTGACATGTACGGCGGTATCGAAGCACACACCGGAACTGAAATTGAGCTGGTCCAGGATTCGAGACCAGAAAACGACACGGTGGCTCCTGGATTTTGGCGGCCGAATAAGTTGTACTGATGTTGAAGTGGGTGGCTGGCTGGCAGCCACATAGCGCGTTAGCGGCAACTTTCTTTTTCCGTGATTAGAAGAGGTCCTGAATAGCGAGACCTGAAGCCTGCAGTTATCCCAAGAAGCTCAAATGATGAGGAAAGACATGTGACTGCAATCTGATTCATGGCAATCTGACGAAGCTCAGAAATCGATAGCGACAAGCTGCCTCGGTGTCCGTGCATAAAAAGTTGGAGCTTCCGGTCTCCGCTTCCGTACCTTGCGGACGTTTTCTGATCCTCGGTCTGGGCTTCGCATGAGAGGAGAATCGGCTGCGCTTCCATCTGGTAGTTTACTAAACGGGTGCCATCTGCATGCTCATCCATCAATCGTTGTTGCGGCTCTGTCCCGCCCAGAGATTGATCACCCGGTCGAAGCTCCCCTTCCCTACCGCGACGGCTGTCCCATGCAGACAGTCGGCGGTGACGTTTGTCACAGTGGCGCCTTCCCAACACAGCTCCCCGCCTGCGAGCCCCACTAGTAGACCCCTCAACGACAAAATCAACTCTAGGGCTCGTCTACTTGCAGGCCATCTCAACTCCACAGCTTCTTCTTCCACAGCCATCCACACAGCTGCCACGAAGACCCCATCCACCATGTCTTACACCACCCGCAAGGTTGGCGCTGCCAACACCCTCGAGCACCGCGTCTACATCGAGAAGGACGGCCAGCTCGTCTCGCCATGGCACGACATCCCGCTCTACGCCAACGAGCAGCAGACCATCCTCAACATGGTTGTTGAGGTGCCCCGCTGGACCAACGCGAAGATGGAGGTGCGTCGGCCCCAATTGGCTGCGCCGTGGCCTGCGTACGGCCGCGCGAAACGAAAGACGCTGACTGTCGCTACAGATCTCCAAGGAGGAGCAGCTCAACCCCATCAAGCAGGACACCAAGAAGGGCAAGCTCCGCTTCGTGCGCAACTGCTTCCCCCACAAGGGCTACCTGTGGAACTACGGTGCCTTCCCTCAGGTACGCTGACGCGACCCCGATATCGGACAATACACCAATGCTGATGCTGTGCAGACTTGGGAGGACCCCAACGTTGTCCACCAGGAGACCAAGGCCAAGGGTGACAACGACCCATTGGACGTCTGCGAGATTGGCGAGCTTGTTGCCAAGCCCGGTGAGGTCATCCAGGTCAAGGTCCTCGGTGTCATGGCTCTGCTCGACGAGGGCGAGACCGACTGGAAGATCATGGTCATCAACGTCAATGACCCGTTGGCCCCCAAGCTCAACGACGTAGAGGACGTCGAGCGCCACCTGCCCGGCCTTCTCCGCGCCACAAACGAGTGGTTCCGTATCTACAAGATCCCAGACGGCAAGCCCGAGAACCAGTTCGCCTTCTCCGGCGAGTGCAAGAACAAGAAGTACGCCATGGACATTGTCCGCGAGTGTGCCGAGGCCTGGGAGAAGCTTGTCACTGGCAAGACCCCCAAGGACGAGATCAGCCTGTGAGTAGTGGCCAACCTACCCCGAATGATTTGTACTGACGAAGCTCTAGCACCAACACCACCGTCTCGCACTCTCCCGACCGCACCGATGCCAGCTCGCTCAACGTTCCCCAGGGCGAGAACAAGGCACCTGCCCCCATCGATGGCAGCATCGACAAGTGGTTCTACATCTCCGGTGCCCCGTCCAACTAGATATAACGGGAGCCGTGATGACCACAAAGTCTGGATATCATTGGAGCATGGGAATGACTGTAGATGATAGATAAACGTGCATGATTAACGCCGACCAACGACGGTATATGGACCCATGAGGAATATCATCAATGCCTCGTCTCAGCCCAACCCAGAATATTGCCGTGACGCCGACCGATGCTCTGTGTCTTGATACATATGTACACTCATGTCTTGATGTCGAGCCCTTAATTGCCTGCCAACTCGTCTTTACGAGCCAGTGACCGTGAATGTCTATCCACTTCTTCGACGACTTGTGTTATGCGCATGTTGCTGAGGTCGAGGTTCATCTCCTTGCCATCCTCTATGTGGATGTTAGCTATTGCCCGATGTGCACCGAATGTGTACGTACTGAACTTGACGCCCAAACTGGCGGGCTCTTTACTGTCTCGCGGCAGCATCTTGGACTCAATCTTCATGCCATCTGCACGTGCGTTCGGCGGTATTAATGAGAGAAAGAGGCGGGCAGGCTTCGAGCGCGGGGAGAAGGGATTGAAGGTAACGCGGACGTCGGTCAGAAATCTGGTGATCATTGCGGCGGTGGAGGACGGAGGAGCTGGCGATGCAGACTATGGCTTGTTAGAGGATACACACAATGAATAGATGCGACTACTTACCAATAGGCGGTGATTCGGGAATGCGCTGCAATTGACGTCCCACGGGCGCTCGTCGCAACCTCTTCGCGATAAGTCCGTGCTCAAGATTCTCTGCGGGCCATGCTACAGCTAGCCGTCCAGACACGTTGCGCTCTTCCACCCCGCCAAACGGCCCACCGTAGCCATCTCCGTCATAGGCCATCTGCATACATCGACCAAACTCTCTCCGCGTTCCAAGCCACCATGGCACCTCTCCCCTCCACCACGCACACTCTCACCACCCGCCTAAGCGCCCTCTCCGAAGCCAACAAAGGTGTCGGCCAACTTATCCAACGACTAGCCAAGCTAGACTTCCAGCCAGGTTCGCAGCCACTCGACAATTCCGACGAAGGCGACGTGAGGTTGGAACTCAGTGCCGAGATCCACGAGACTCTGAAGGGCATCGAGGAGGAACTTGAACTTCTGAGGCAAGAGGTCGAGGACGTTACATCACAAGGAGGCATTACAGGAAGAAGGCGGGATAGCAGCAAAGACAGCGAAAGGAGTAGGCTTGCTGTACTACTTGCGAGATTGACCGAGGACTTGAAGTTGTGAGTGATGCATTCCCCGCTTACCGTGTTCTCTGTTATGGCATGCTGACCCTACGTTCCTGCAGATCGCGATCACAATATCGGAAAGCGCAACTCACAGCCAAGCACAACGCCGACCGCGCAAAGCTCAAAGAACGCGAACTCCTCTTCTCCAACCTACAATCAGGCTCCTCCACCCCATCTTCCACATATCGCCAGAGAAAGCAACAACAAGGGTTATCAGAAGGTGAAGTCGTCGCGCAGGCCTCCTCAGACGTCACATCTGCTCTGCGCCGGACAGCCCAATTGATGAAAGACGAGCTATCGCGCTCACGATTCGCACAAGAGACACTCGAACAGACCAACGCCGCATTGCAAGATCTTGGGGAGCAGTACTCAGACCTAAACACCCTACTAGCCAACAGCAAGAACTTGGTTTCGACACTCTTGAAGAGCACCAAGAGCGACACGTGGTATCTTGAGACCACCTTCTACATCCTCATAACAACAATCATCTGGCTCGTATTCCGCCGCTGGCTATACGGACCGCTCACCTGGTTCATCATCTGGCCAGTCAAACTTACCTTTCGCATACTTTTCGCCGTCCTACCCTTCGGCGCCGCATCCTCAGCCGCATCCTCGAGTGTGGCGGTATCCTCGTCTTCAAGAACCCTCATCGTCCAACCTAGCGCAACAGGTGGCATACCCCGACGCGAACCCAACGCCCAAGGACACTACATACCTGTCGGTCGCGGAGGCGGAGTGAATCGACAAGGTCAGGATCCTAGTCCACAAGGCTCATATTCGCAGCAAGTAGGCAAGATGGCGGAACAGAACCAACAGCAGCAGCAGGAAGAAGTGCCTGATCACCCTCAGTTCAGACAACCGAGGAAGGATGAAGACGAGGGACCGGTCACACTGGGAGACGGGACTGTATTGCAGGAGAGCGATAAGCCGAGGAATCCAAAGAAGAAGATGTGGGAGGAGGATGTGAAGAGTGCGAAGCGTGATGAGGCGCAGGCGCAGGAAACACCGGCACAACAGGAAGGAAGTGGACAAAGGCGGAAGAGAGATGAGCTATGAGCTGCGACTTCGCAAGTGGGCACGTAGACTGGAAGATATCCTATGATAATGGCCATCATTATTACTTTATGACCACCATCTTCACTCAGTATCTCGTCCGTTTCTGGGCAGGTGGTGACTGCGCGCTAGCAGTCCTGCACTATATAAA